TTGTCCACAGCAACCGGATTTGCTTCTCAATTGTGGCGGCGGCGGCGGCAGCGGCGGCGGCATGATCCTCAACTTGGATGTGTTCATTAATCCGCTGCATCAATGATTCCATGGTTGTGAGCTGGTGCATTATAAGCGAGTCTCACAGTCTATGTCCCACAGTCTAGGTCTCCCAATACTTGGCATTATATGCCTTCAAAGAACTACTCGAGTCTATCTTGATACCTAGGAGGTGGTTGACCTCCTTCGATGTTCTAGTATTGGTCTTGAATCTGGTGACGAAGGCTTCTACCAGTTGCTGCAACCCCTCAATACTGCCCTCCGGGAGCCTTTCGAACCACTTCAGGCCTAACTCTCCGAAACTTGCTGGGAATATGAGACACATTAAGGCATCGTTGCGCTGGTGGCCTACTATTACTTACTGGTAATAACTAGCGTGCATGTACAGATCCATCTTGCCATCGTAGAACGTGAACTTAGGTGGATGAAATCCGGCAAGGAGGGGTGTGCTTTCAATCTCCGGAGACAGTGGGGTGGCGGTGAGTCTTGCCAAGTCTTTGTCCACTGGTGCTGGAATCACCATTCTAGGTGGCGACATGGCTACCTCTTCACTGCAATGGATTCTGGGACTCAGCCTTTGCAGCACCCGCACTCTTTAGGTCTCTTTGAGGTATGCACGTTCCTCCAAGACATCCCTCTGAACCGGCAGAGTAAGAGTATCTTGATGTTGTCGACGGACGTAAGGGATGGTTGTTGTTATCGCGCGTGCGGGATCTCTCTATCGGTAAGTCTAAATCGCCAACGCCGTAGCTCTTGGTAATAGAGAGAGAGGGCGTCTCCTATTGGTGTTGACTGCCTGAACGACAGAGTTTGGTGCTCTCACTGTGGTTTCCCTTTTCAGCAACACCCTTTCCTTTGATTTGTCGCTTCAATGTCTCCATCTCAGCCGCCATCTTCCGACAGAAGGCGTCTTGGTCTCTGAGTTTGTGCTCTAGGAGCTAAGCATGCGATTCTCTCCGCCACCAATGCTTCTCAGGACTCTACTAATGAACAGTGCTCCTCGCACGTTTGTCTCGCGCGTCTCTGGGTAGCCCTTTAGAGGAGGTCTCCAGACCCTGCATGGTTGGAATGGTAGGAAGGCCATCTCTCTTCCGGACCGACTCTAGAGTGATGCTATCTTCGACGGACAACAATGTTTCGTCTGTCAAAGCTAGGAGAGCAAGGTTTGTTTGTCAAAGCCTTCCCACAGACGATGCCAATTGTGTGGGGAGAAAATATTCGTCGCTCTCCGTACCCCTTGTGTCTAAGCTTCATGTAACGTCGCTTAACCTAAGAACAGAAAGAGGGTGAGCTACCCGGTGGTGTATTGCCGGAAAAACCCTCCGACGACCAAGTTAGCATACTTAGAAAAGAAGAGAGAAGGTTGAGCATTGTAGAGAGAGACAGAGTCTATAATCAAAATTTCTTACCCCCCAACGTCTGTATACTTCTGCTTTTCAAGGTTGGCCATACAACCTCAAAGATTGCGGGCGCACTACCTCTGCTATCCTTCTTTGGATAGGCGACTGTGCTCCCCTCTACATTTCTTATACGTATAGGGACCGAAACCTCCAAACAGTATTTGTCGCACCGCCAAACGATATTGACGCATACTAGGAGTGGATTTCTCTCTTCCCTTTGTTGGTCCACGTGGGATGCTCGACCGATCTGTTACTTGAGAACCACTAACACCACGCTAGTTTCTTCATGCCGAGCTAGATCTGAATTGGTCTATAACAACTAACTGGAGGTGGTCATACCGTTTGGCACCTCAGCTATTGACCGCGATCTCACGGACCGCCCATTTCGGTGATAATAGCGCGAACAGTCTGTAGCTCGGTCATCACGTGACTCAGCTACCTTAGACCTCAATGTTGGGGTAGTTCTGCTAGCCAACTGAGCTAGCTCTACCGGGTTTGGTCAACACAGTATTCCGCAAGTGTCGAGCTCGGCTCGGCACTACATTCTGTGCGAAACCAGCTCGGCTAGACGCATCTCGGATAACCTTAGTCCGGCCCAATGACGCGTCCCAAGCTCTTTTCACCTGGCCCAATACCAAATTCTGTGTTGGTGCAGCTCAGCTCACTATTCGGCACGAATCTCCCTCTCAACTTTAACTCTCTTTTTATTTATAATTTGTTAGTCAAATATGGATAGAAAATGATACTATCATATCTTTTACATTAGAATTTTACTATATATTTTTTGGAGCAGTTATTTCTACTCTATTTTGCTCCAAATACATTTCTTTCTTTGTCCTTATTATAAATAGAGGGGAGTATATTTGGAGCAAAGTAGAATGAGAATAATAATTATGTATAATAAGGATAAAAAAAAATAATGTATTTAGAACAAAATAAAGTGAGAATAATGACTCTCTTATTTTTTTTATTATTTATCTTTATGTCCGTTAATATAAGTATGTTAAAATTGTTATATTTTATATATATATATATTTTTCTAAATCTTAAGAGAAGTGAGTATAGTTAATCCTTAAAAAAAAAAAAAAATGTAAGTTCGAAAATTTGAACAGGTTTATCAAGCACACTAATTTGACAACGTAAAGATATCCTCTCTATTTAATAATTATTATTTTTATAATAGTGAATGTTAGTTTTTAAATGATTTTTTTAATAAATCAAATGCAAAAATAATTTTCTCAAATAAATGTTAGGTTGAAATGATGATCAGTAAATCAAAAAAATCCAAAGAGCAAACCTAAATCATGACTTGGAATGTACTTTTTTTCAAACTAGCTGCATTTCACTACCCAATAAATTGTTAAAAATTGAATTCTTCATCTTCTTCTACTCTCTTTTTTCTTCTTTGCTTATTGAGAGAAGCCAAGAACTTCAACGCAAAGAAAAAGAAAAAAGAAAAAGTAAGCCACAAAAAAAAGTGGCAAAAGCTGGTAGCAGCAACCCAGAAATTGCTTAAAAGCTCGGATTAATGTCAAAAATAGCATGTAAAAAGAATATTCAAAGAAAAAAATTTAATCCAATCATTTATCAACACGTCATCATTAATTACCTAGACAATGTTCACAGCCAATAACAGCAACCCACCTCGCTGGCTGCCCACAGATGCGCACACGGCGCATTATAACAATCGGCGATATTAGGATGTTTTGAAAAGTTAGTAAAAAATTAATTTTTTGATTTTTTTAGCTTATTTTGTTTATGTGAGAGGTGATGTAATCTAAAATAAATAAAAAGTTAAAAGTTGACTTTTTACCAGCTTCTCAAAAAACTCCATTATGGTTATGTTTGGTATTCCTTAAAAAAATCAAAAAATCACTATCCTATTTAAGTCACATTATCTTATTTAAATCATATCACCTCTTTAACACATCACCTAAAACTCAACTAATATTTCATAAAAAATCAAAAAATACATTTATTTAGAACTTCCCAAACAACTCTATATATGTATTAATTAATATATTAAAATATATATTATAATAGGGAGCTTTTTGATAAATCCATTTTCTAAGAGCTTTATTCCATTCAACTCATATTCTTTTTTACTATTCCATTCAACCCATATTCTTTTTGACTATTTCATTAGGTCCAATTTGAGATAAGAAGACCAAAATACCCTTTTCATCTGCTTATGTTCCATTTAGTTTACATTATTTTCTTATATTTCAATAAGTCCTATGGGTGACATAATTACCAAAATACCCTTAATGTGAATGTTCACACCGTCAATATAAATGTTTATATCATTAATGTGTAGGGGCCCGGCTCATGTAGATAGTCCCCCCCTCCAATCTCCCCAATCAAACACGCTCTATTTGTTTAAGAGCACTACCTCAACTTGCAAAAGTGATAATGTAGAATTATTAAGAAATTGT